CCTTCTCATAGTAGTTTACACCACACAATGGCTTTTGAAAGAATAGAGGATCTTTTATCATTTGAAAAGTGTCTTGTCTTTGGTTGTTTTTTTTTCACCCCATATTCTTCAGGCTCATTAAGCATAGACTATTTTCTCTAAATTTCTTTGTACATCTAATTCCTTTTTCCCCCTCAGAAATAGTTATGATTTTTGATATGCTCAAAAATTTTTGGAAAATTCAGAAAAGGATAAAGAAGAGTATCATTAACCAGCCTATAGTCAGGACTGGTGTTGTTAATGTATTGATATACTATTGCTAAGATATTGGTGAATTTCTCTCCATTGCATTCTTTGTAAACAGATTTTTTGAAAGTATAACTGACATAAAATAAGCTGGGCATGTTTTCAAGTGCACAATTTGATGAGTTTGGGCACACTTGCACGCACACTTGTGAAACCATCACTGTAATCAAGATAAATGAACCTCACACTCCACCTCCCTTACTGCAAAGTTTCCTGATGCCCCTTTTGTAATCCTTCCCTCTTGCTCCTCCCCACCTTCCATCTCTGGGTAAACCTTGCCTGATTAATTTTGAGGGCATGAAAGGCCTAAATTCACTTTCAGAGATGCTTTCTCTGAAATCTCTTGCTCAGAGAGCAACTCCAGCAGAGGCAAAAGGCACAACAGTTGTGATATCGTTGTGCTTGGGTTCAAAGTTCCTCTCAAATCTAGTCTCACTTAATGATGGATTCTGCCTTGGATGTCCAATAAAACAGATCGTCATCTACCACATTTGCCCTTTAAGACTGTGTTTTCCTGTTAATTGAGCATAATGTCACGGTCGTCTTATTTTTAGTCAAAATGTTTCAATGAATTTGTTTCACATCCTTAATTTTTTGGTCTTGAATTCTTCATCAGACCCTGAACATGGATTGGGAGATTTTTGCTTTTACAGATTGTGCCTCTTGAGACATGTTGGATATTCTTGTCATTTTCACACTGTTTGCCAAAATAAACCTGTGGCAAGAACACTGTGGCAAAAGAAAGCGTTCTGCTCTGACAGCAGATGCTGTTCTTTAGTGTTGCTCAGTTTGGGGACCCAATGCATGCACTTGGAAACTCGCAACAGCATTGATCAGCAGCCAGCTGCGTCTGGGCGTTTTCCTAAGGTGGCCGTTGTCAGTTCATTATACTAGCTTCTTATATTTGCAGATAGCAACTTGTTCTAAGAGTTTAGAAATACCAAGTGGTAAGACAAGATAAACATAGCATGGGGTAAAGGCTTATATAGATACTTGCTCCACCTCACATCCTGCCCTGGTATTCGAGGTGACTGACCACAGGCTATGGCCCATTCTATGATGTTTACACAGAATGACAGAAATAGTTTCAGGCCTCTGAAAGCTGTCTCTGTGCCACACGCCCACTGTCCTACCTTCTGACTGAGGCTTCTCTCCAGACCTCGGGAGGCAGCAGGGCTGGGTCCTCACACAGACCCAGAGGCACCAGGTCCTGCATGTGCACACTGCCTCCTGCCACAGAGGCACCAGAGCCCAGGGAGACACCCAGGCAGGGCCTCAGGATCGGGGTTAAGGCAGGACAGTGGTCAAGCCAGAACCTAATTACTAGTATAGCAGCAGGAAAGAAGGCGGGAGCACGGAAGAGGGGATTAATAGGTAAGACTGAACTCAGCTGCTGATGTTGGGTACAAACCAGGGTGGGATTATAAGCATCTGATCTTAATTTGAGCCGTGAATGCCCCAGAGATTTATTGGTCTTCAAGGCTGAGCTGGCACTGAATCTGGGGTTGGGGAGTTTAATGGATCTGCCTCTTTTGCAGCGTTCTCTGGCAGACTGTGTTCCAGCCATTTAGGACTTTCATTATCTCTAGGATGTACCCTATTGGCTCTGGCCTCTGGGCCTTCACATATGCTGTTCTTACACCTGAAAGACTCTTCTAGCCCCTACTGTTCACTAGGATGGAGTGTTCTTGCATATTCTTCAGGTCTCAGCTCAGCTGTCACTTCCTCCGGTTTTCCCTGATACCCTAGATCAAGTCAGGTCTTCATGGTACAGCATGGTGGTTGTACCCCTTTAGACTCAGGCTACCCGAGGACAGCTACTGTCACTGTCTAGCTTGCTTATTGTTTTCTCTTCCAGGCCTCGCACATCCTTGTAACTTAGTAGGTGCACAATAAATGGATGTTGAGGAGAAGAAGAAAGGAAGAAGAAACAAAGAGTGGAAAGGGAACCAGAAAGGAACACGATGAGTGCCTTCCTTTGCTGAAGGGAGGACAAGAGCTGATCCCATCCCACCCTCCACCCCTAAAATTGAGAAGTCCTGAGGGCATGATTTCTCTCTTAATGATCTAACCTCACTAACTTACAAAGAGCAGGTGTGCAGTGGAGGTTGTTGAATGAATGGAATCATTCTAAGAACTTCTTGGCCAAAGAGTTAAACAGCTAGAGAACTAACTACTGTTTTTGCCATAAGCTTTGAGCAACCACTTGACTTTTAGAATATGTGCACATACATAAATGCTTGTAAAATTAAAACTCCTGCAAAGATGAGACAAGAACCAAAATTCTCACTAAGTTACCCTGCTGTCATCACCAGCCAAATCAGATCGGGTTGTGAACTTACAACCAGAAAGTCTCGCTTGTCCTAATGTAGTGAAGCTGTCATGCAGCATTTAAAGAAGATGTAATGTTTAAAGTCACAAAGACACTTAGAGAAGATGCAGTTCACCCACTGGACTAAAATATAGATTTTGGCTTCACCATCTGTAAGTGAGAATGGAGGACATGATTTAAACGCTGGCCACGGAGAGCCTGAAGTTTGGGCCTGACCCACCACGTATCTCATGCGTGCCTTTGGGAAACTTGTTCGGCTTCTCCACTTCCTTTCTCTCCTGGAAAATGGGAAAGACGAGACCTGCTTTGCAAGGGCTGTTTTGAAAACTGGACACAAAATGTAATGCACCCAGCAGAGCCCTGGCCGCCAGGCACTCATCCCCGATGGCATTGTTTAAAAGTGCCTCTGCATTTTAATTATTTACAGGTATCCTGGCCAGGCTCAGGGGCATAAGGAGCTCATGAAATTCTGCTCTCTTGCTGGGAAGAGGTGCTATTTCTTTCCTGCCCGTGCCCTAAAAGAATGAGGCAAGTGGCAGAGAAATAAGAAAGCGAAGCCACAAAGAAACATGGGAAACAAAAAAGGAGGTATTTGGTTCCCGCTGGATCTTGGAGTTACCCTGGAGGGCAAGGCTCTTCTTTTCCTGCCTCACTTTACCCTCCTCAGGTGTTCCTGAGGAAAGCCCCCGGGAAGGCGGCCAGAGCAGGATCCTTGTGGGCACAAGAAGGAAGGATCTGGGTTTAGCAGCCTGCTCATTTCTCCAGAGCTCTTTAAAAAATGAAATTCAGCCGGGCCAGTGAGGCTCAGTGGTTGAGTGTTGACCTATGAACCGGAAGGTTGTTGTTTGATTCCAGGTCAGGGCTCATGCTCTGGTCGTGGGCTCAATCCCCAGTGGGGGTTGTGCAGGAGGCAGCTAATCAATGATTCTCTCTCATCATTGATGTTTCTAACTTTCTCTCCCTTTTTCTCTGAAATCAATAAAAATATTTTTAAAAATGAAATCCATATTCAGACAGTTTTAAAAATAACACTTCTCTTCTTATTTCATAGGCAAATCACACGTTAGAAAATTCATGAGCAAAATGAAGACAAAAGTTATTCCAAACTCCACTGCTAGATAACTGAAACCATTTTGGAATCTATCCTTTCAAAGGTTTTTCTGGACAATGAGTACATAAACAAACATGTTCTTATAAAACCAGTGAGATCGAATGGCGCATACTGTTCTATAACCCGATCCTTTTCACTCAACAGCTTTCCATGTCAGTAAATGAGCGCATCTAATGTCATGATGGGTGACCTCAGTGGACACCCAGGGGGCTGGCCTCAGGCACGTTTGGTGCTCTCCCTGGGCAGAGACAAGCTTGTGTTTGTCTCCTTGCTGTGAACAGTGACTCAGTGAACAGCTCCAAAGTCAAACCTTTACACACGATTGTTCCCTTACAGTGAATTCTCACATCCAGTCTTAATTTTCTCAAGAAAAAAAAAGACAATGTGATTAAAATGTTTAAATCATAAGTGGCTTCTTTGGCAAGGAGGAGAGGAGAAGCTGTAACTCGGCCTTACACTTTTCATCTTCAATTCTGTTCAACCTCCAAATTGATCTCAAGTGCAACCTCATGTCTAGTCAACAAACTTAAGAAATAAACAAGAGTCCTAACCAGTTTGGCTCCCGGTCCCAGTTTGATTCCCGTCAAGGGTATGTACTTTGGTTGTGGGCACATACCCAGTGAGGGGTTTGCAGGAAGCGGCTGATCCATGTTTCTCTCTCATCAATATTTCTAACTCTCTATCCTTCTCCTTTCTTTCTGTAAAAAATCAATAATATATATATATATATATATATATATATATATATATATATATATATATATTATAAAAGAAATAAACAATACCTGGTACCTGTCCTTAAAAGTATTTTACATATTGAAGGTAAGAGACAATTATCTCTAATAAATGAATATTTTTTCCCCTCTCATTGAACACAAAAGTATCTGGCTTTTTCTCTCATTTAACACAAAAGTACTTGGCTTTTCATGATAAGAAGCAAGGACGAGATGGACATAATAATATTAATCACAACCAATGTTTGTAAGAACGTGTTATGTCTAGGAACTATTTATATATTAAATGTTGTACTGAATTATATTCATCATTTAATTCTCACAGTCTCTGAGCAGTCCCACAGTATGGACATCATATTGTTGTGGAATTGAGGGAATAGGAAGTTGGGTAACTTGCCCAAGGTAACTCAGCTGGTGCATGTGGAGCTGGGATTTGATTCTGGGCTCTTTGAAGTTGGTGCTGCTGAAACACACTGTCCCTGGGCTGGGAGAGTGCTCCCTGCTGACCTGGAATAAGCATTGTGATTGAACCTTCTAGGTACTGTGGCCTGAAAACCCGCTTGCTGACGTCCCCCTTGGTGGGGTTCATGGTGACCAATCAGTGCACCTTCCACGCTCCAGTCAGCTTCCCTCAGGTCCCGGTGGCTGCTCTGGCCGTGGAGAAAGTGGGCCACTCCAGTGTGCATTACCGCCTTGCTTTGTTTCCACCCAAGCCTGCCCAGGAGCCGCCCAGAGCAGACCACCATGACCTCAATGACGGCTTTTTCTTTGGCCACCCCAAGCTGGCGCAGTTTGACACTTTGGCCTGTACCACTGGGTCCTCGGTCCACGTTTTTGTGAATCCAGCCACCAGCAAGCCCACAGGCCTCCCAGAAGACTTCAGGAGGGGCCTCCTGAGGCTGAGGAGGCTGGCTCCCGTGTGAAGAGCCTGTACGTGAAATTGTGCCTGTCAAAGAATAAAGTTGAGATTATTCTCTAAATGATTTCCTTTCATTCCTTAGCATATATCTTTTACCCTGAAAATCCTGAGGCTGAGGAGGCTGGCTTCCATGTGAAGTGCCTGTATGTGAAATTGTGCCTGTCAAAGAATAAAGTTGAGATTATTCTCTAAATGATTTCCTTTCATTCCTTAGCATATATCTTGTACCCTGAAAATCCATTTCTTAAAAGTTTTTATGACAGTCATCTCACTCCACTGATGAAGCCTCTCCTTGCAGCAGGCCCAGAACTAAATGCTCACAACCACCCAACGAGGCAGGGACTGCTCTTACCTCCCTTTTCAGGAGAGGAAAAAGAGGTCTGCAGAGTGGAAGTCAACTGGCCTGAAGACATTCAGCTAGTGAGTCCCTTGGACTCAGAAGTCCACCTCAGGGTCCTCTCTATGTGCATCGTAATCTCCAACATCTGAGCAGCAGGTGCCACACTTCCGGTGGTTTGTGATCACTCATCTAATAGGATCCGTTGATGTCCTCAGCTTCTTATAGTTAATACATGAATTCTTTTTTTAAATAATGTGAACTTAAAACACACACACACACACACACACACACACACACACACACCCCCCTTCCTTTTATGAATTTAAAACAGCAAGCACACCTTTGACAATTTTCTGATAAATCGAAAACCTCCTTCAGTCACTTATGCCATGCACTGAAGCTTGAAAGTAGGGACAATTAAATGGAATCTTTGCTGCTGAAACACATGAGGACCCTACTTTGGTGTCATAATCATAAAGGGTTACTATTTCTTGAGTGCTGACTACACCCAGTGCTTTATAGTCATTACTTTAGGTCATCCTCATGTTGCCTGTACCACGGGGCTCTGGCACTATATGAGATGAGAACATTGGGGCTTTAAAGATAACAGTGGGAGTTGGGGGAGGAGTTCTAGTCACCTCTGTCTCCATCCTGTGACAAGGAAACCTGCAGGTTTAATCGCTCTGGGCCCCAGGTTCCTCCTCTGCAAACATGACTTTTTTCAGTTGGATCCCTGAGTCTTTTTAGAACACCCAGAGACTCTTGATCTGCTTTTTCTGAATCAGTTCCAAATCCTGCCTCGACTAAACAGCCTTAGAATACAGTCTCCAAGATAAAAACAGTGCTAAATGCTATTCCCTTGTCATTTAATCAATTCAACTTCACCTAGTAATGGATCGATTTTGAGGTTTTAAAACCACTTCACACAATAATTCTAGGACTCAGAAAGACTATTAACCAGCAGCCTACTGTTTGTCGGTATTGATTTGTCTGACCTCTGGCATTTGACCTGCACAAAAAGATTACCAGGGAGAACTCCTTTAATTTGTGTCTCATGTTTAGGTTCTCAAAGTTCTTGCATGGGCATGACCTCACTTCATCTTTGTAGCTACTCTGAGAGGTGTCCCCATTTCCAGTCAGACAGGCTCTTCTGCAGGAAGGTAACTGTCAAGGTCATAGAGCCCCAGGGAGGCAGAAGTAGAACTTGCATGCAGCCAGGCTATAGGATCCATCTTTCCATGCCACCAGCTCTCCATCTCATCCCAATGGTCCTGAGTTTTCAAATGACAACATGCACTGCCATGAATTTTTAAAATTATAGTAACACTAGCAGTGGTTTCACCAAGAGGTTCTTAAATTGGAGGCAACATAGTAGAGTAATTAAGAGGGTGGGATCCTCCTGGATCTGCCATTTCTAAAGAGGGGAACCACAGGTTCCAGTTTGCCCCGGACAGGGCTGCTTGTCCCAGTGTGATGGCAGGCTCACTCCTAATACCGTGGGTCCCAGGGGTAGAGTAAAAATGGGAAAAGGTCTATGGGCCACTCCACCATACTTCTTCCTGCCAAAGGGCTGTGTGTGTGTGTGTGTGTGTGTGTGTGTGTGTGTGTGAACACCCCAACCTGCATGTTCAAACTGTGAAAGAAAAAAGCTACATGCTAACCTGACAAGCTCAGGGAAGGCCTGCGTGGCAGTCTTACATACCCAGAGACCTAAGATAACCACAAAAGATGGTTTGAAAATTAAGTATCTAACAGGTTATAGTAGGTAGTCATTTCCCAGATATTTTCCCAGACAAAGATCAACTTTGATCTTTTTACTGAACCCATTTGCCTTTTTGCCTCTAAGATAACATATCTGTGAGATGTCTGGGTAACTTGTAACTTCCCTTTTTCCGGAGCCCTTGGGGCACAACCAAATGTGGTGAGCACCAGGACAGATGCCTCAAATTCCTTCTCTATCATGTTAATTGTTCCTGCACTTACCTGTGTACACCTCCATCATTTTACTTTTTATCCAATCCCAGGAGTTTCCCACCACTTTGCTTTCTCCCGCCTCCTTACTCCATCACCAATGAATTTCATGTAACCCACCTATGTCCCTCCTTTGATTTCGGTGTATAAATAGAGAAATGTAACCCGCCATTCTTTGGAGCATTATCTCAACCCCTTGAGTTTCTGCTTCCCGGCAATTGTCCACAGTAAGGCTCAAATAAACTCTTTAAAAAATTCTTTACAGGTTTCGATGGTTTTTTTCATTAACAAAACTGAGTCCACCAGCTGCCCCTGGGATCCTTTGGGCCTAGGTGTGTGCACATCTGTGGCTTTGTTAGCATTTTGGAAAATCCACCTGGGAGATGCACACAGAGGCTCTGGAAGATGTTTGGAGTTATTTTGGCAGGGAGTTCTGGGTGCTGCAGGGACCTGGAGCATGAGGCAATGGCCCTGGCTCTGATTGAGCAAAACCCTTTGGCCCACGCACTCTTCAACCCATGAGGGAGATAGATCCCAGCCAGAGGAGGTGCAGAGTGGGTCTCTGAATCCCACGGTGGGCAAGACAGGTTGCCCCGGGTTTGGGGAGTTACTGATTGAGACTGTGCCCCTTCACTGGCAAGGATATTGTGGTCGGGACAACCAATTATATAGTCACCTAATTTGAGTTGTTTTAACTTTGGGCATTATTTCCCTTTATAGTTCTCTTACCTGTAAAATGACGAAAATAGTACAGTTATCACTGTTTACCAGAAATAACGTTTTTGCTACACCAAGGTTTTCACCCTACCCCTCTGAGCAATAGCAGGATGCACTTTCTGCTCCCTTGAAGTTAGAGGTAGCCATGTGGCTTGCTTTGACCAATGGAAATGAGCATGGGAGGACCAAAGTCCCTTTCAGGAGTGACTACATTTGGTTGCCTGACTTGATTCTCCAGGGGACATGGATGTGGAGACACGCAGATGAGCCCCGGGGACAATTGCCCAGAACCACAGCAGACTTTGCAAAAGCAGAAATTAAACCTCTGCCACTTTAAACCACTGAAATGGTAGAGTTATTTGTTACCACAGCACAAGCCAGCTTACCCTCTTTCTTACAAGTACCAACTTCACAGGCCTGTTGTGAAGGTTACATGAGAAATGTATGTGAGTACCTGGCAGGGTGCCCGGTGCACAGCTATTTGTATTTTTCAGAAAACAAATGCTCCCACAAGAAAAGTATTTCACTTCATGTGCTTCTATGAGGAATGAGACACTGTTTTCTATTTGATGAGGAAAATTAGAGGTATTTACAGCTCATAGAATGGTGGGTATCCCCAACCCTGGACCCCAGAATTAAGAGTGTTGATAGACTCTGAATATATCTCCAAATTCATATAAATCCTTTTTTGAAATATATTTTATTGATTTTTTTTTTTTTACAGAGAGGAAGGAAGAGAAATAGAGTTAGAAACATTGATGAGAAACATTGATCAGCTGCCTCCTGCACACCCCCCATTGAGGATGTGCCCGCAACCAAGGTACACGACCAAGGTACATGCCCTCAATCAGAATGGAACCTCGGACCCTTGAGTTCGCAGGCTGACGCTATATCCACTGAGCCAAACCGGTCAGGGCCAAATTCATGTAAATCTTATTACTCTAAGTACTGATGACATAGTCTTTCCACTTCTCAGTTTTTTAATACTTCCGTGTGAGCCACAGCATTGAGTATGATGGCACCTAATGGTTTTCAGTGAGAAATTCTAACACTATAAACCCAGTTTTAAGACTACAGAGAGAGCTACATCTAGGTGCACATACTAGGGGGAAGCCAGATTTTATTAGAAAGCTGGCAAAATGAATCTAGAGAAACTTTAAAAAAACCCAGCCAGCCATTCACTACTTCACAATGTTTTAGAGCTGAGCTAACAAGTAGCCACATGTCTGCTGTTTGTTGGGCACTTCTGAGCAGGTATGATTCGGGCCACTATTAACAAGAAACAGCTATGATAATCCAAGCGGGTGAAGAAAACCTACAGGTGTTTGCTGATTTTCTAACATTTTTGTTACACTCAAATTCATTCAAAAACCTACATTAAGAGACACGAGGTACAAAATGTGTTCATGTTTTGCTTGGACAGATTTTGGCTCCTAGCAATTAATGCTTTCAGTCCCATTAGGCAGATAAATAATGCTTTGTGACATTACAGTATTTCTCATTACAGATCGATTTTGTAGCATTTGTTCATAATCAGACTTGAAATGTTACCTAGAAACAAAATATGTTTTCCTTGAAACAGTCATACCCTATTAGAAATCTAAGGCTTTACAAATCACCATGTTAACAGCTATGTCCCCTAGCTAAGGTTTTCTTTCCTTAAATAGTGTTAAATTCAGCCCCAGAAGCCCTGCTTTCTTTGAGGGTTTTCTTCTTATGTGCACTGACTTGAAAGGAAAAACTTAGTACTCAAACTATATTTAACATCTTACTATGTATAATTTAATAAATCAACCAATATTCCTTTTTTTTGGAAAATAATGTTAGTACCCTTTTAAAGTGTTACGCTTGTAATTAGGTTACACAGAATTTCTAATTTTTTTTAAAGGCAGGTTTTTATTGCTTTAAAAAAATGTTGTCAGCCTGTTTCTAGGTAGGAGGAGCTATTTCCATTTCCTGACTGTGTGATCATGTACTGTGGGAGAGCAAAGAAATAAAGAAAACCAATGCCAGATTTGGAGAATTGGAGCAGT